TTGGGAAAATGTGCTGCAAAAGACCTCTTTAAAGTGTTGAAAAGGAAAGATGTCGCTTTAAGGACTAAGGTGGCCCTGACCCAAGCCATGGTGTTTTCAATCGCCTCATATGCATGTGAAAGCTGGACAATGAATAAGGAAAACCGATGAAGGATTGATGCCTTTGAATTATGGTGTTGGTGAAGAATATAGAATATCCCATGGACTGCCGGAAGAATGAACAAATCTGTCTTGGAAAAAGTACAGCCAGAATACTCCTTAGAAACAAGGATGGCGAGACTTTGTCTCACATACTTTGGACTTGTTATCAGAAGGGACCATGGAGAAGGACATCATGCTTGGTAAAGTGGAGGGTCAGCGAAAAAGAGAAAGACCCTCAACTAGATTAACTGACACAGTGGCTGCAACAATGGGCTCAAGCATAACAAAGATTGTGAGGATGATGCGGGACCAGGCAGTGTTTTGTTCTGCTGTACAGAGGGTCACTGTGAGTCGGAACTGACTCAACGGCACCTCACAACAACACAGGGATTACTATGATTGTGATTATTTTGGATGGGGAAACTGAGGCTGAGAAGGGCAGGAATTCATCCAGAAAGCTGTAGGGAGCCTCAGAATTAGGGTACCAGCGTTGACAGCAAAATGTGGAGACAGATTGCTAGGGTTCAAATCCCGACTTCCTGGGGCAGGTTAGTTACTGTCTCTGTGCCTCAGTTTCCTCATCCGTAAAAAGGTGACACTGTCTTAGAAGAAGGCCTGGTGCAGAGTGTGCACTCAAGAAATGTTAGCCACAGTTATTACCCAACCTGCTGCCTCACTTTTCAGGCATATCAACCCTCAGGTTCCTTCCTGCCGCACCCCCATCACGCTGCAGAGAAATGTACAGCCTCCGGGGAAGAAATGCGGGGAGGGAGATTCTTCCGAGGGTGTCATCACCAGGGCATGTGTGGAAAGTGAGTGATGAGGTTGTCAGTGGTGCTGGGGATGGTGGGGGGTTTCCTCTGCTGGTCCCCTGCCACCCTAAGTCACTGCCCAGTTGCAGTGTTCTGAGGCTTGGCCCAGCCTGCCACCCTGGGTGGATCCTGCATGGTGTGGGGCTGGGGCTGGAAGTACCTGACATACTCAG